GAGGTCGTCTATATTCGTATGTGTGCGTGCGTATTCGGATATGAATAAAACTCTGCAACGGGGAGAACTGGGAGGTTGGAACTACAGAAGCACATTCGCACCCCATGTGTCATGCTTCTGTTCTAAAACAGTGCTCGCGGTCTCTCACAGCTGGAGTGCAGAGGACTGACACAAAAATATTTTGGCAGAAAAAGAAAACGTTCACGACCCGCGCGGATAGTCTCCGACAACGATTCCCCGCATGCTGCAGTCACAGGCGGGTCCAGGACGAACTCCTAGGTGGGAGAACCCTCTGTACCCACCTTCCCCACCCCCTCCCCCTCCACCCTTCCCTCCCTCCACCTTCGGATCCACTTATGTCTGCATATTCATCCAGGATGCTTTTTCAGCGTCGCCCAGCGAGTTGCCTTCTCGCCTGCACAGCCCATGATGTTCCACCAGCAAGCTGCCCCGTAATAGTTCGCTGGTAGGTCGGAGTTGTCGTTGCACTACGCAGTCAGTTTCTCTTCAACGCAGCAATGTGATGGCGCCTGGCCCTCGCGAGTGGCGCTGGGTTGCAGCGGCGGAGCAAGTGTCCGTGAAGTGCGGAACAGAGAATCGGAAGTGATTTACTGGGGGGGATGTGCGGCAAGCAGATCATCATCGTCATCAGCACCAGCATCATCACTGTTTCAGAGCGCATCCGTCTACTTTGTGGTGACAATGTTTATGACGACGGTCTGGATGCGCGCTTTCAGCGTGAAGCATTTCTTCGGGTTCGTGTCGTTCTCCTGCGCCACAGCGTAGCAGACAAGCAGCTGGTCCGCCTTCGGTGTCCCGCCCGGCAAACGCATCACCTGAAACTGCTGGTCGCTTCACAACAGAGCAGCAACGAGATCTCGAAAGAAGCCGCCTAACACAAGTTACGGGAACAAAAAAATCTTCTGGCGCTCTTGCTTGGCCACTGCCCGCAGCGCCGACGCAGCAGCAGTTGGGTGGCAGTGACCAGCAAGGCCAATCTGGCAGCTCGGGGAGCGACTGTGTGGTCTGGCGGGCACGAGAATGCCAGCCACGGGATCTACGCTTCCAGCCAAGGCGCACGATCGTCTTACGAGCCAGTCCCACGCAAATATAACTGTTGGTTAATCTTGCTGCTCCAACACACCATCTTGGCCTAGTGCTCGGGAGTTCGCCTCCTTCCATTTTTGCCCAGTCAGGACGGGGCGCCCTGTCTCTTGTGTTCTCGAATTCTCAGTTCATAAAAAGAGCCAGCAGCTCTTCCGGGAGGGACAACCGGTGTGGGAATGTCGCGTTTTCACACACGCAGCCCATGGGCCACTCAGGATCGGCTATTCCCTGGTCTGTAATCTGTCACGCTCTTGAGCAAAGGACGTACGTTCAGCAAGGATGTGTCTGCTGGATAGCGCAGACTGAGGTGCTAAGACAGCTAGCTTCCAACAAAAGATCTGGCGCACACAGGACAAAAGCGAAGCCGATGTCGGCCACGAAAAGCACCGCTTTGGTCAGTATGCGGCGCTTGTTGGTCGGAACGGTGCTTCACGTAAACGAAAACGTGTATATGAGTGTGTGCGTACGTGTGTGTGGGTGTGTGTGCTTTGTCATCTCTTTAACTCAACAACCAGAAAAGTTAGGAAGCCAAAATTTTGGGGACAAATTCCCAGCACACGCACTACTCTTCCGTTTAAAAGGAACGCTCAGTGTGCGCTTAGATCTTGTTGTAAGGATCCCAGAAAAAAAAAAAAACATGCACATTTTTAGTAGGAGACGATTTTGGGAATCGGATAAGACAGTCAGCTAGAACTTTCCAGGGATATTCTCCGTGCATGTACGAACTAAAGATTCCAAATTTAACTACCGCATACGCTTGCTTCGCGCATACGGTCGCGTTAAAGTTTACGGCTGACACTGTGCCAGCACGAAACTAGCCAAGAAAGGGTAGCTGAAATTCTGTCAGAATACTTATCACCCAACTTGAGGGCTCGCATGCTTAAATAGAGTCTCGAACTGCGCTTGCTGCCTGGGTTTATTATTGGTTTCAAATATAAACTCTTGTGTACTATCACCGCACTAGCGTCTCCCAGCTGGCTTTGACGAGGCTTAATTCTGCACCTGTGTCCAGTCTCAGCTGGTCGAATCTCGTGTCGGGGAGTGTTTTAATCACATTACTAGCCGAGAATCGATGTTTACCTCGAGCTCATTCATTGTTCCAGAGTCCAGGAAGGAGTAGACGGGGTTGACGCGGAAGAAATCGTTATTGCTGCACTTCACTTTGATTGCATAACGTACGTTCGAATCGTTAATTATCAGATGTCTGGAATTTTGACAGCAATGAACACAGTGGACTGACATACCAATGTTTTGCACAAAAGGACAAGGGTATGCGCGTGCCTCCTGCGACTGCCTTCCATATGCGTCTTTTCTTGGGAACTGCCCGGAACGACTGTGCAGATAGAAACAGCCCGAACAGCGATAGTACAGCGCATACTCCACGTAACATCATAATGAACACACTTCCATACAGTGGAAGTGAGCTGCTGGCACCTTCCCAGGACAGCGTGAATCTGATCACTGGTTCCTACAGAAACAAAAAGGCGAATTTCACTAAATAAAAATCGAACTTGCTAAATTCTGCACTTCTATTTATAAATTACAAGTGTACTAAGTCATGTCTTGTACATGTACTAAGTCTTGTGCATGTACGACTGTGTATGTGCGCCTCTGTGTATATGTGCGTGAGTGTGTGCTTGTATGCTTGCCTGCCATTCTGTTCAGAGAATCAGTCTCAGGAATTCTGTAAGCTTGAAAGCTGAACCTCGAAGCGTTGGAAAACAGACGAGCTGGATAGCTGAGATTTCATGAGAAAGTTCTCTGTCCATGTGCAATTAAAACATTTTAAATGCAGCTTTGACGCACAGCTAGGTCTCGTGTACGGATATGCTAAATAAATTTTTGATGAGAAACGATTTTTAGAACCGGTTAAGCTAGAGAGTTGAAATTTCAAAAAGATGTTCTCTGCCTATGTGTGATCGGAAGAATTCAATAATATTTTGTGTACGTGTAAGTGGAACTGGAGATTGGAACACTGTTGGGACCCTTTGAACTCGGGAGCTAGGCCAAGTAGAGAGTCCCGATCTTACGAGGACGGTGCATGTTCGAGAAACACAGGATCATTTTTGGAAATGTCTACGTTTCGCGTATGGACACGACGAATTACAGGCTGCAGTTGCAATCTTTCTAGCTTGGAAACCCGATGGAATAAAAAACTGCGATCATAAATGGATACATGCAGTCCAGAAGGCGTAAAATGAACACTCGTGCACACTTACATCACGCATGCCAACATGTGGAACTCCCGTTTACAGGATTGTCGGCATTCTCTGATTTCGATAAGCAGGCATGCTAGAAAGCTGAAATTTCACGAGGACCGACAGGTTCACCCCGCTGGCACATCGATGGTTCCATTTCTCAAAAAACATTGACAGGAACAGCATGAGAAAACGTATAAGAATGTGAAGCAGCGCATGTCCTTGCTGCAAAACGATCTTATTGCTGCACGAACGGTGTGAATACACACGGGAAATGCTGGTAACG